AAAAAATTGAAACACTAAATCACTCAAGAAAAGATTCCCATCTGAACATCTGAGCTGGACACTGCTCAGCGCAGCTCACTGTCAGCGTGTACTACATAAGGTACACAGGGAGCTGAAGATGTGGAGAGGGGCTTGGAGCGCATTGCAGAACCAGTGCGCATGCGGGAAGATTCCTCCCACTGAAGCGAGTGTTTTCCAAACCCTGTCGCTCAGAGAGACTTGTCACTTAGAAAATGTTCCCTGATTATGAAACTTTGGCTGAATAGCGCTTGTTCCTGTCTCCAATGTGGCGACGCATCCAGGAGCCGTCTGAGGAGAAGCCCAGAATCTGACATCCTCTTCAGCTCAGAAAGCGCCGATATGATTACGCACAAGCGTGATCCGTCAACCCGGCCTCACAGTAAGACCGGGTTGGACCTGTTCAGGTTTAGGCAGACAATCTACATAGAATTGGCATACAGATGTAAAATTAATGCAGTAAAATATAAAACATTTTATTTAAATATCCATTCATTATTTTACAAGCACAGAGAGCCGCATCAGATGGATGGAAGAGCCGCATGCGGCTCCAGAGCCGCGGGTTGCCGACCCCTGACTGAAACGCAGCAGTAGAGCCCTGCGCGGAACTGTTTTCTTCATCCCGCTCCTGCCCGCTGAATTTCTGACAAGTCGCCCGCAACCGCAAAACTCGGAGAAATGATTACCTCACAATAAAAGAGATGTATTGAGTTTGCGTCCTCTCTGGTCCTGGAGAAAACATGTCATTTTATAGGCTATACCAGGGATCGGCAACCCGCGGCTCTTCCATCCATCTGATGCGGCTCTCTGTGCTTGTAAAATAATGAATGGATATTTAAATAAAATGCTTTATATTTTACTGAATTAATTTTATATCTGTAAGTCAATCCTATGTAAAGATTGTCTGCGTAAACTTCAACAGTTCCAACCCGGTCTTACTGTGAGACCGGGTTGACGGGTCACGCTTGTGCGTAATCATATGCGCTGTCTGAGCTGAAGATATGAGATTCTGGGCTTCTCCTCAGACGGCTCCTGGATGTGTTGCCACATTGGAGACAGGAACAAGCACTATTCAGCCAAAGTTTCATAATCAGGGAACATTTTCTAAGTGACAAGTCTCTCTGAGAGACAGGGTTTGGAAAACACTCGCTTCAGTAGGAGGAACCTTCCCGCATGCGCTCTGGTTCTGCGACGCGCTCCAAGCCAGTCTCCACAACTTCAGCTCGCTCTGCACATATGCGCTGACAGCGAGCTGCGCTGAGCAGTGTCCAGCTCAGATGTTCAGATGGGAATCTTTTCTTGGGTGATTTAGCTACATCTGCGATGTGCGTAGAATAAAATGTCAGTTCGTCTGCATGCGTCGGGGTAATTCTTTCTATTCTTTCTCTGTCAAAATAAACGGTCAAATACGGGAACTATCCAGTCAACACAAGCCCTGCTTTTAACTGTTTTGTTTTCTTGTGAAAATTGTTGGAAAGAGATCAAATTTATCTTGATTAACACCAGAGCCAGTGCGCCGTCATCTCCGTGACGGTAAATGAGGGAAAAACAAATTGATCGGATCCTGCACGTCTTTTAACACATTGGTCAGGATTGACGCACTTTGTTTTCATTTAGTTGGTTAAAAAAAAGTCAGGCTCGAGTCGGGCCAGAGAATCCTGAAAACCTTTTCGGGCCGGGTCGAGCTGGGGCTCCACCCCCTCGGGCCGGGCCCGACACGGGCTCAGATTTTAGGCCCTTGCAGGGCTATACTCTGTCGTGCTCTGCTCCCGACGCGTTACATTGATCTCTATGGGCCGACGGAGCTAAACGAGCGCTCAGGGACCGTCAGCTAATAATCACACCAGAAACGTTTGATGATAAACTATGTAAAAACGTCCACATTGCACACTGCAGTGTGACCAAACTCACAAAATACAACACTGCACACACGCTGATCACACAAAACTATTTAGTTTAATCCAGGTATACAGTTTAGATTTAGTGTGAAACTTTTAATAATATAAATTCCAAAAGCTCCTCCATTTGAAACTGTAGTGACACCAAATTCACAAAGAAAATCACAACTTTGATGCTGATCATACTACACATTTTATGTTTTTAGAGAAAATTCTACACTTTTCTTTATTTTTTTCCCCTCTGACTTTTGGTGATGTTTTAAAACAAAAAAATTAAATTACTCCTATACTGTAAACTCTGTTGACACAAAATAATGCATGCTGGTCAATACTTAGCTTCTCTACATACTACAACCTTTACTTTTAGGAAAAAGTACTTCTCTCATTTTTGGTGAATTTTTTAAATGATAAATGACCCGCACTTTTATAGCGCCTATCAGAGTAAGGACTCCAAAGCGCTTTACACTATAGTGTATCATTCATCCGTTCACACACACATTCACACACTGATGGTGATGAGCTACGATGTAGCCACAGCTGCCCTGGGGCGCACGGACAGAGTTTTCTAATTTCAATAGCTCTTACGCTGCTAAAGTTTGTCGACAAAAAAATCATGCATGCTGGTCAATACGTAGCTCCTCTACATACTACAACCTTTACTTTTATTAAAAAATACTTCTCTCATTTTTTTTATGAATTTTTAAAGTTTTCTAATTTCAATAGGTCCTACACTGTAAACTCTGTTGACACAAAATCATGCATGCTGGTCAATACGTAGCTCCTCTACATACTACAACCTTTACTTTTAGCAAAAACGACTTCTCTCATTTTTTATGAATTTTTTTATGGTTTCTAATTTCAATAGCTCATACACTGTAAACTCTGTTGCCTCAAAATCATGCGTGCTGGTCAATTTTTAGCTGCTCTACATACTACAACCTTTACTTTTAGCAAAAAATACTTCTCAGATTTTTTGTGATTTTTTTTTAATTTTCTAATTTCAATAGGTCCTACACTGTAAACACCTTTGCCTCAAAATCATGCATGCTGGTCAATATGTAGCTCCTCTACATTATACAACCTTTACTTTTAGCAAAAAACACTTCTCTGATTTTTTGTGAAGTTTTTTATTTTCTAATTTCAATAGGTCCTACACTGTAAACTCTGTTGACATAAAATCATGCATGCTGGTCAATACTTAGCTGTTCTACATACTACAACCTTTACTTTTAGGAAAAAACACTGCTCTGATTTTTGTGAATTTTTTTAGTTTTCTAATTTCAATAGCTCATACACTGAAATTTAAATTCAGTAACCCATTCAATGTTAACCCTATCAATAGTTATATTTACTACAATATTTTTTATGTGTTTTCCAAATAACATGAATTTTGTTTTATCTAGATTTAAAGATAGTTTATTTGTATCAAATCATTTTTATACCATGTATTTCTTCTGTGATTACCCCAAATATCTGCTGCAAATCCATACCAGTACAAAGAATGTTTGTGTCGTCTGCAAATAAAACAGATTTGAATAGCGTTGATACTTTACATATATCATTTATGTACATAATAAACATTTTTGGGCCTAGGACGGATCCTTGAGTTACCCCACAATTGATATTCTTGAGTCTAGATTTATTTTGATCTATCTGTACAAACTGTTGCCTATTAGTTATGTAGCTTTTATTACAATCCAATACTAAACCTCTGAACCCATACCTCTCCAGCTTTTCTAATAAAATATCATGGTTGACAGTATCAAATGCCTTTTTCAGATCTAAAAATACTCGCAAGTGCATATTTCGTATTGTCAATAGTTTCAGTTATTTCTTCTATCAGGTCCATTAAAGCTAGTGATGTAGATCTATTACTTCTAAACCCATATTGACTGCCACAGCAGAATTCTTACATATTGCTCCTCACGCATTCTTTCACCCCTAAGATGCACCTCCAGAATGCAAGAATGCCCAATGCTTGTTACCGGGGGTTCAGTTTTATGTTTCCAATTGTTGGCACCTTGTCTGTCATTACTACTAATGTAACACACCTACATAGCCCGGTAACTATTTACCATGCTAGTCACTCACTTTGCATTCTCCACTCTGAAGCTTCCTACACACGCACACACACACACACCCGCCGACAGAGATGAGTGTGCTGTGTTTTCGGACAACAGGTCCGTCACCCAAACGACTCACCACAAGAAGAGAACCAGACTCCTAACAGAACGCGTAAAACAATTCCATAAATGAAAACTGCAAACAGAATGAAGTTGGTTACACTGGGTCCAGCTTTGTTTCCTGTTCAGCTACTCTGAGCGAAGAATGCACTATTTTTGCACAAAGAGGGATATTTGTAGACAGTCAGAGGAGAAATTTGATGGATGGATCATGATTCAATCATTAAGAACGGGACGTTCACAAAGTTTGGATGAGGTTTTTCCAGGATTGTAAATTCAGAGGCCGTTAGAAATAATATTTTTTTTTATGACAAAACACTTATTTTTTGTCCCCATTGGTATGTGGAGAGCATTTCAAGCAGCGTGGCAAAAAAATAAATAAATGCTCCCGAAAACCATTTGTAGATCTTGACAGTGGCAGGGAAAAAGGTAACAGCCTAAAAGCTCATACTGTATCAAGTGTTGCCATTACACTTTCCATTTCTCGAGCTTACAGTAAAACCGCGCAGCGGGGGTTTCTGTAAACAAACAGTTGCTGTTTCCATCCAGCCTTCCTCACTAAGGAACGTGTACAGTATGTTCTTAAAGTCAAAGAAAAGTGTCAAACTATTTCTTTGCTCATAATATCTGGAATTTCCACTTCTATTTATTAACTTTTTATTCTTACATGAAGTTTAAAGTGAGCTAAACAGGATTTTTAAAAAGGAAAGAAATCAAAACAAATATTTATGTTCGTAGAAAGTACCAGAAAAATGTTGCAAGGCTCACCTTCAGTACAGAGTATCTACTTTATCGCTCATGTGAAGTCTTACGAAGTACAACTGACCAAAACCCAGTGAAAATGGACACTCTCTTTGTAAATATTGGTTTTGACAATGGAATTGTTGTTTTTTTCTCCAAGGATTTAGGTGCATTTTCCAAATGACTGAGCTGCAGCCGTTGAGCCAGCTTCAGGAAACAGACGAGCTCTCGCTGAATGTCCAGGAGATGCAGTTCTGGCTGGACAAAGCGGTCGCCTGGGGTCAGGCCGACTCTCCAGACACTCGGAAAGACACCTGCCGACACTTGAGCAGACTGAGGAATTTCCTCCAGCAAATTCTCACTCAAATCAACAATACGGTAAGTGCATTTATCATTGAGTGCAACTTTTGCACCCAACCTGTGAGTCATTCAGAATTGTGCTTTATTTTCCAAATGCCAGTTTGTTTAAACATCCACTAAGAGACCCGTTTTACAGGTTTAACGCGTTACTCGTAATAAAGCACTTAAGAGCACTTAATAGATTAGGCGTAACTGCAGGCATTTGATTAATGAAGCAATAAGTTAATTCATGTGCAGGAAAGCCTGTTACACGGGGCCAAGCGTGCTCACTCTCACCGGGTTTGTGCCAAGGTCTGAGCAACGTTAGGGTCCGGCTAACAGGAGCCGCTCTGTGCGATGCAGCCGCTGTGAATGTCTGGCTGGCAGCTCCGCTGTGTTGAGTTAGTCAGGTAATAGCCGCGTTGGGACCTTGAGCCTTAACCCTAATGTATCCCAGTATCAGGTCCAACAAATCTAGGAGGGGGGGGGGGGGAACAGCAGGACTGCAGTACTTTTAGATACTGCTCCAGCTTGTTCTCCTCTGGACTCAAACTCCGTGCCTCTAATAGTTTTTTTTAACCCAACGTGATTTATCTTTTTTAACTTTAGTCGTCATCATCACGCCCTTACAAGGTCTAATTTGTTTTCTCTGCTCTCCATATGGTTTACTGTAACACTTTGCTAATGATTAGTCAGCCTCTGCATCTAATTCCTCTCAGCTTTGGCGAATGCTAGTATATTTTTATGGATCGAGCATTGACGGGCTGTTTTTTGATGTCTTGTCTCTTTGTTTCCTGTTAACATTATTCTAGTTTTACGTAATGCAGAAGGGTCGGCGTGTGGAGACCGGTGGGGCAGATATGAAGAAAGATAAAAAGGAAATGCGTTATTTTATGAATAACCATTTGAGGACAGCCTGCTTCTTGGCAGCGATTAGCCAAGATGGGAATACCTTTTTATTAGTAATTTCCAGGATTTTATAACCGGCTGGAACAAAAGAGGATGTTTCTGAAGGCTGCATGTTGCCTAAAATTGAAAGCGAAAAATGGCTTTCTGTTTTATAGGACGCTTTGTCTGCCACGAGGCAGCCAGTAGACCTGTAATAAAGTCTGTAAACCACAAACTGACATTTTTACTTGTCGGTTTATAGGAATAAAACAAACAGTCTCTTCTTCTGCCCTGTCATACCAGAGCTCCTCTCTGACAGCTTGACTGATTCATTCTGCATAGAAGTAAAATATTTAAGGATTATCCATCCAAAATTTAAAATGAACTCATTTTAATTGGAATCTTTTTTGTTTTAATTGATCTTCATTTTTTATGGGTGTAAAAACACAACAGAGGATAAAAAAGTCTTATTAGAATAAAAAATGAAACCGAATAAATCAGTTTTTTTAATTCACTCTTTTTGTGATATTTTTAAGTCTATGCGAGAAGAAGACGTTACTATGTGTGCATTTTTTTGGTCATCAGAAAATTCAACACAAATACAAGTGTTGTAATTAATTATTTGTTTTCTTAGAGCTCTACAGCAGAAATCATGAAGAAATTTCCCCTCCTTGGCCAGTTTTTAGGCCGGCTCTGCTGGAACCCTTACGTTACAGTTGGAGGTGAGTCCACTACTTAAGCTTCTTGTCAATAATAGTGACAACAGTCCTTAAGTTTTGTTTGCCTTTCTGCAGAAACAAGCAGACAGCTACTCTTCCAGTGTATTTTGGGACTGTACACAGAGCATCCAAGCAATGCTGTGGAAAAGAAAGCTAACCAGTGGATACAGGTATGAGCTGAGCTGTCTTAATCTCCATTCATCCATCCATTTTTGGCCACTTATCCGGGGTCGGGTCGCAGGGATAGTGGCCTAAGCAGGGAATCCCAGACTTCCTTCTCTCCAGCCACTTGGGCCAGCTCCTCCGGGGGAGTCCTAAGGTGTTCCCTGCCGATAGACATAGTCCCTCCAGCGTGTCCCGGGTCTTCCTTTAGGTCTCCTCCTGGTTGGACATGCCCGGAGAACTTCACCAGGGAAGCATCCAGGAGGCATTCTAACTAGATGCCCAAGCCACCTCAATTGGCTCGTCTTGATGTGGAGGAGCAGCGGGTCTACTCCGAGCCCCTCCCGGATGGCCGAGCTTCTCCACCTATCTCTAAGGAAGAGCCCAGCCACCCTGCGGAGAAAACTCTTTTTGGCCGCTTGTGTCAGCATTCTCATTCTTTCAGTCATTTCCCAAAGCTCGAGGTGAGAGCAGGAACATAGATCAACTGTTAAATCGAGAGCTTTGCCTTCCGGCTCATTTCTTTCTTCACCACGACAGATCAATACAACGCCCGCATCACTGCAGACGGAGCACCAATTTGTCCATCAATCTTGTGCTCCATCTTTCCTTCACTTATGAACTAGACTCCGAGATACTTAAACTCCTCCACGTGACGCAGGACCTCATCCCTGACCTGGGGAAGGCATTCTAACCTTTCCGACTCAATACCATGGTCTCGAATTTAGAGGAGCCGATTCTCATCCCAGCTGCTTCACACTCGGCTGCGAACCGCTCCAGTCTGAATCTCATAAATGTAATTTTGTTTTACTGAAATTCTGTCCAAGAACTTCTAAAAATCTTAAAATTAGTCAAATTAAAGCCGCTATAGCAAATCCTGAGAACAAGCCAGCTTTAATGCTCTAACTTCAGCCCTTTATAGAAGACACACCACGCCAGCAAACCAGCGTTATACTGCCACCACACTTGGTAGTAATATTACCGTAACGCTATCCTGACCAGCCAGCCTCATGCTTCCTTATAGGAAGCAGTGGGTTTGGGAATTATTCAATTCAAATAACCCCACCCCCTCTAACAGAGCCAATCAGCTCTGAGCAGACTACGTCACACACCACAACACTGAGTTTCTCATAAACATGGCGTCTGAAGTAGGGGTTGTATGAACTAGTCGACTTCACGGCTTTGTAGTGTCTTTTTATGCCTGTCATCGACTAGTCGCTGTCACGTGATAATGAGCGACAAGATGCAGTCCTCGGAAAAGACAGCAGGTGAGAAGCCCCTGCGCGTCGGAAGGCGGAGGCTACGTGCTGTGCCAGAGCGTCGGTACTGACACCCGCCATAAAACGGACATTTAACCAAATTGTGTCCTTTTCCCTCTCGCAATTTAACCTTCCCCTCACCCCCATCCTAACCTGAACCAGCTTGCACATGCAAAGCTCTGATTGTTGACGCGCTCCAGACATCTGCGTCCTGAGCACGGCCACAGTAACATTATCAAATCTGGTGTCTCCACCTCAAAAACAAATGTAACACACGATCGTTCATGTTGGCTCATTTCCTTTTATGTTTTCTGTCTTTTATTTGTGCCTGATGCGTTTCGCTGCTGTGGAGCGAGGCGCATCACCTGTTTTGTCCTCCTGTGACACACCTCACTGATGCGGCTGGCGAGCAGCGGCACTCCGCTGTTTTTGCGGTCGGTAGATCTTTTAGAACTGCAGTTCAAAGGTAACTCATGAGGTGAATATATATGAAGCCAGGTAGCAGTTTTTCTTTAGGATTGAGAGGAGATGCAGGAAGATAATAAACAGACAGGACAGAAAAATAGTCAAATAAAAACAAGTTAGTCTTTGTACCTGCTGGTTGCAACAAACAGACACCATTGAAGGTAATCAGAAGTGAGGAACAGAAAATGAAATAATTATTTTGATGTTTAGAGCAGGAGGAACTCCGAGAGGCTGCAGGCGCATCAGTGAGTTTGCGGCCGCTGCGCAGGGGGAGGGGGGAGAGGACTGAAGCAGAAACTCCCGTTGTTAAAAGAAATGTGTTTAACTTTGAAAATGTGGGCACAATTTTAATTGTTAAAAACTCCAGCGAACCAACCGACCCCCCCCCCCCCCCCCCCCCCCCGCGCTTCAGGTGCATGACGTCATCAACGACTAGTCAAAGTCGACTCGATTTTCATTACTTGACAGTCGACTTTAAAAAAAATTAAGTCATGCAGCCCCTAGTCTGAAGCAGAATTCGCTGCGGCTCTTTCCTCTGGTCTAAATGATTTGAACAAGTAGAAGTGCTAAAATCCTTTCTTCTAAATAAAGATGTTTGCACCGTCGCCTGACGCCATTTTTGATTAAAAAACTAAAAAACTACAGTGTTGCGTGGTACAGTTGGTATTTCCTCCTTTTTTCTGATTGGGCATTTTTGAGCTGGCTAGTCCCGCCCCTCATGTGCCTCTCTGCCTGTGAGTAACCAGACTAATTCTCTGTGTAGACAGAGAACGAATCTGGCAGGCCAGGCTACCGTAACGCCGGACTTGTGAGTGAATAGTACTCCTCGGTTCAACAGAGGGAAGTCTCATGATCATGTGGGGAGTTACTGCCGAGTTCCGGCCGGCAACTACATTGAAAATGAAAGTCAATACAGGCAGTGAGTTTCAATTTTGTAAACAGAATCAGCTGAGATGATAAACTGGAGCGATGCAGAGTTCCAGGTTCAGGACTGCACATGGACTGTGGAGAACCGACACCTTTAGGAGCAGCTTGTGAAAACCTAATGGGCACGGCCTTGATCACAATAAAAAGGAAGGTTAGGCCAAGTTAAATGAAGGTCCGTGGCAGTACAGACTGCTCCCAAACCCCCTTTATACCGCCATCGTGTCATCTTTTATAAAAAAGAGACGATTGTGCCACAATACCGCTGTGGTCTGATCACTTTCAAATGACCTTAGGCTCTCTGATGCCAGCTTGGGTTTGCGGCAACACTTTTTTCAGGAAACCCCACCTTTAAAAATCATATTAAACTCTTTAGAGAGGCTGTGCACACGCACAAGAAAAAAAAAACATTAACTTTAAGGATGGATCAGATTCACTTTCCTCGAAAACAGAGACGGTTCCTCTTCACTTGCTCTAATTTTGAGAAAGTTTCATAGTTACAACATTTTCTTCCAGTTTCATACTTAAGAGCTCATGACTTTATTGTTGTTTTGTTTGTGTTAAATAGAATTTCCCGGTGTACTTTCTTCTTAAACTCGTCTGTCATGTGCCAAATTTTGCCACAGTGGACAAGGCCTCTACAGTTGTTTAGTCCTGATTTGTTCTGGAAGACTTGACAAACTGATTGCTTGGCAGCATGCACGTCAACATTTTCTTTACAAACACTTTTAGAAGAATTTGTCCTCGACTTTGAGCTGCTGAAGAGATTTTCTGTTCAATTTACTTTTAATAGGAGCTAGCTGGCCAGATCTCTGTATCTTCCCCTCCATCTGGATATGGATGATAAATGAAATAGATTGTGTGTCTCTACTGGTTTAAATCTTTGTGCCTCCAACTATATTTCATATTTTGGAGTCAAATGAAAAGTGACGGTTTCACTGCTGCTTGTCCTCTGAGCAGTGTGTTGTTGTTAGCCAGCATCTCGCTCTGTGTGTTCTGTAGGCGGGAGCACAATGGCAAAAATAAGAGGGAAGAAAAGATTCTGCAAATCTCAACTTTCAGAGAGTTCACACAGATGGCTCATGATAAACAATGTGAGACCTGCACATTTTTGCCAGATTAGCTGTGTTTGTATTCTTTTGATTCATTTCTCATCTAATAAAACATTGCGCTAATTAAAACAGTGCCTTGAAAGTAAACTTTAAATTTGCCAGATGGTCTTTGACCTATTAGAGGGGAAGCAAAGTGCGTGCTAGTATGTTTGTATGTGTGAGAGATAGACTGATAAAAATTTATTTATTAATTTGATTACTAAAACTATATGATAATGGTATAGTTAAAGGTGCATTATGTAGAAATGAAGTAAAAAAGACATCCTGTGGTAAAATGTGGTTACTGCAACCACTTTAAACAACTCTGGAGCTTTTTGCTAGCCGCCGTCAAAATACAATTGTCGGTGCTGCAGTATTGGCTCACAGGAGACACGACAACCCCACACTCACTGATGGTAAACGGTAGTTACGTTCCTCCTTTTGTTGTTTTGAAAGGAGAAAAACTGACAATTCCCACATCCAGCTGGATATGAAATAGATTTTAGTAACGTGAAGACTCTTTTGAGATTTTCTCACTGTAAAATTCTCACTATATTCTTACATTCTGCACCTAATTTATGAATATCCACAACTTACAGCTCTGGACATTGGAACATTTCTATATATTACTTATTGTAATACAATTGCTAGTTTAATACCTTTGGCCTTTTTCCGTTTCTGTCAAACAAAACTTTTGGGTTTGTACTAAGGATGTAAGAAAATATCACTACACTAAAATATTGCGATATTGAAGACATTTTGCTTCTCATCCGAAGAGCTTTGCCAATTCTGACTGGAATATTGGAGCATTGAGCTTATAAACACGAGCCGTCTATTGTTGCTTAATGACCTGAAACTGCCTATGAATACCCCTCCTTCCTACCTGAGAGGCAAAACTTCTTTGAGAAACCAAAGAAGTCCAGTTGTTTATAAGCCTTCATTTGGGGTGGTGTCCGATATTTATACCTCCATAAAGGCCGACAACCAATATTTACGAATAATACGCCGTTTATGTTTCAATATTTTGACACTGTATAAAAGTGGCCACACCACCTTCATTGCTTATCTGCCTTAGTTGTGGGGGAAAAGCTCTCACATTCCTGATTCAGGAAGTAGAATTTAGCCAGACGAGTGGGAAAGATGGCAGGGTTTGGAGTTTTATTTTCTGATATTTGGACTTCTCCCCTCTGATTGGCTAACAGCAACTCAACTCGCGCCTTGGGGGGTTGTAGAACCCTCAGAAGGCGCTAGAAAACCACAGATCATTTA